CTAAACACAACCTAAACGCAACCTTAAACACAACCAAACCCCTCACAGCACTAAACACAACCTAAACACGACCTTAAACACAACCAAACCCCTCACAGCACTAAACACGACCTAAACACGACCTTAAACACAACCAAACCCCTCACAGCACTAAACACAACCTAAACACGACCTTAAACACAACCAAACCCCTCACAGCACTAAACACAACCTAAACACGACCTTAAACACAACCAAACCCCTCACAGCACTAAACACAACCTAAACACGACCTTAAACACAACCAAACCCCTCGCTGCACACCTTCTCTGTGTCTCAGTGCTGGTTCTTTATCTACAGCAGCTGACCAGACTGAAAACACAACACGGGGTACCTGGCACACACATCTTTTATGGAAAATCCTTTCCTTAGGATTGTTCCTCCTGAGAAGCTGAGAGGCCTCAAAATGTAAACAATGCTTATCTGCTGCTGTGGAATGCAACAGGTGCATCTGGGATTGGCCCATGTGGTTGTTTCTAATTAATGGCCAATCACAGTCAGCTCGCTCGGACAGAGAGCCGAGCCACAAGCCTTTGTTATCATTCTTTCCTATTCTATTCTTAGCCAGCCTTCTGATGAAACCCTTTCTTCTATTCTTTTAGTACAGTTTTAATGTAATATATATAATGAAATAATAAATCAGCCTTCTGAAACACAGAGTCAGACCCTCATCTCTTCCCTCACCCTCAGACCCCTGTGAACACGGTCACATTACTGAGCTCCCAGGATTTAAACAAACTCTCCAGCACCCCTGAGAGCTGAAAAGCTGCACAAAGAGAAGCTGAACCTCATGGCCTTCTCTGAACATCACCAGGTTTAACTTAAGCTCCCCCTTCAGGGTTCTGTTAAAATGAAAGGCTCCCACTTACCTTCTACATCAATATTTTGATCAGGAATCTCCAGCTCTATGACATTCATGCTGGATTCTTTCCAAGAGCCACTGAACATACTGGAAAAGTAGCCTGACTGTATGAAGGAAGAGAGAAAAAGAACTCAACCAAGAGATCTCATCCCACTTCAAACTGCCAAAAGCAGCACCAACACGATTAATATTTACCTTTATGCAGAACAAAATAGATTAAGGGAGCTTTCACAAGCTAAAACATTCTGACAGACTCGAGGGGCTGACTGTAGCTGCTGTTTCTGACACTCAAAATGCCTACAGGAAAGTTTGGGCTACGTGTGTGTAACCAGAGTAAGGAAAGAGTTTGAAAAGGCCAGAAAAGCTACACAAGCTCTTTTTCCCACAAGCCACATCACCAGTGGGGACAGAATTAGTTCAAACATGAAGTCCTTAAGGTTACTGGCAAACAACAAATCCTGCAGGCATTAGGGAATGCCAGTTAGGGGTGGAAAAAAAAAAAGGCATGCAAGACATACAAATTACTGTACAAGGCTGCAGCCTCATACCAAGGACACAGACACACACACCATTTATGGCAATATACCTTTTATTATTAAGTGAAAAGCACATAAAACTAGAATTTGAGGTTTCCATCCAAAGGAAGGGAAAGATAATGCTCTACTAGGGTTCCTGATTTTCCTTCCCAGCAGCAGATGTGCCCATTATGAGATGCTATCAATGAAGTTTACCTGAGAGATCAAAAAAATAAAGTCTATTTGTACAGCACCGCATTCCCTGACCAAATGGAAAGCAATCCCCTCGCTGGGACCACACAAGCATTTGCTGAAGCTGCTCTGGAATTCGGGCACTGACACAGCAACAGCCACCAAAAAAACCCCCGGAATTGGCTTTTCCTGTCACTTGTGGCAGCAGAGAAAGTGCAGCCAGGTGTGGAGCACCTCCCTGTGCCGCAGTGTCACAGCCCTGCTCTGGCTGCCGCTGCAGCTCCTGTCCAGGTACAGCACCCGAGGGCTCCACACCAACCCCTGCCGAGGGCAGAACCCCTGAAAGACACGGGCACAAGGGAATTCGGTGTTTGAGGGCACAGCACAGACAGCGAAGCCACCAGCACCTCTGAGCTCCCACAACACAGACACAAAGGACTCCACCTCAACACCAGCCCAACAGGAAATGTGTGTGGAAGCAGCATCCTTTCTGGGCCATGCACTAGGGACAATGCACCACGATTAGGAATAAAAAAAATTTAAAAACATAATTAAGCGGTATGAGAAGCAAAAAAATTTTTGAAATATGAACCTACAGCTCTGCTTCCCAACAGGAACTCCTGTTGCTAACAGGAGCTTGTTAACTGTTAACATCTACAAAAAGAGTTAAAGTCCTAAATATAAAGTGGATAAATAAAAAAGAAAGATCACCAGTCATACTTCAGAGTTCTCAGACATCCTTTTATTAAAAGCACAGTTCCTACTGGGAGCTAGAAAGGAGCCACTTACCTGACACAAATAAATCTTGTGCAAGTTCCACTCCTCTCCCAGAGCACAAATTTTGATATCACTGTTCTCCCCATTCAAAAACAGAGTCTGATAAATATACTTCGACGTGCTTTTCAGCTTTTTCCTAGCAAAAACAAAACAGCAGACCAGGGACAGTGAGACACACCCCTCGAGACTGTCCCGTTACAGCGGCAGCAGCCGCTCCCACGCGCTCCGGGGCCGGCGCTGCCCAGCCCGGTGCGGCCGCCGCATCCCCCGAGCCCGCCGGGGCCTTCCCCGGCCCGGGGAGCCCTTGAGGCCTCACCCACCCCGAGACCTCTCCCCGGCGGGCTCCGAGGGGAGGCCGAGCCGGTACCTGCCGTGTCCCCTGGGAGCTGCACCCTGGCCCGGCCCTGCATCCTCCTGGGCCGGCCCTGCATCCCCCGGCCCGACCCTGCATCCCCCGGCCCTACATCCCCCTAAGCCGGCCCTGCATGCCCTCAGCCCGGCCCCGCATCCCCCCGGGCCCCTCAGCCCGGCCCCGTCCCTCAGACCTGCGGCCGCGGAGGTGCAGCAGCCGCTCCTCCCGCTCGGCCTCGCCGTCGCTGTCGCTGTCGCCGGTTCCCTCGGCGCCGCCGCGCTTCCTCTTGCCGCCCTTGCCCGCGGCCGCCGCCTCGCCCCGCGGCAGCCCGGCCTTCCGCCGCAGCACGCGGCTGCCCAGCGAGCCCATGGCCGCTCCGCCGCCTCATGGGGCCGCGGCGCGGCGGGGCCGGAGCGGCGGCGGCGGCGGCGCCTCAGCAGCCCCGGCCCGAGCGGCGGCCGCGGCCCCGCAGCTCCGCGGGCCCGCAGCTCCGCGCCTGCGCGGGCGGGCGCTGCTCCTGCGCCGCCTGCGGGGCCAGCGAGACCGCGCCTACTTACTTACTTACTTATTTATTTATTTATTTATTTTAAAATTTTATTTATTTATTTATTTATTTGTTTATTTATATATATATAAAAATAACCTATATATATATATATCGATATATAGGTAATGATTAAGAAATATAAATATATATATTTAAGAAATATATTAGGAAATATATATATTTCTTATATGTGTTTATTTATAGATTATATAATATAAAATATATAATATAGAACATATAATATATAATATGTAATTATAATATATAATATATAATATATAATATATAATATATAATATGAAATATGCAATATACATAGAATTTATTATAGTATATATTTTATAGTAAATGTAGTATCTATATATTTGAGAATAAAGCACTACATTATCTATATATCTATATCTATATCTATATCTATATCTATATCTATCTATATATTCTATATCTATATCTATATCTATATATTCTATATCTATATCTATATCTATATCTATATCTATATCTATATCTAGCTTTATTCTTAAATTACTCCTAGCCAGCGTTTAGCAAAGTTCCCATAAGCTGCTTTAATAGAAGGCTTGGGAAACTTACTGAAACTTACAAAAAACTCACTGAAACTTATTGAAACTTACTGAAACTTACTGAAATTTACTGAAACTTACTAAAACATAAACAAACTTTGATGTAGTTCAATGAGCAAAGCCTGGGAAAGAAACCTATTGTTGAGGTTGGACATCTGGAGTGTAGAATGCATGAATGAAAGGACAATTTCCAGAAACCAGAAGATAAAGAAGAGACAAAGATTGAGTTTATGTGTTGTATAGTCCTTACAGGAGGAGGAAAATGATACAAAGACTAAAAGAATGTGGATGAATTAGCATAAAAAGCAGTGCTGCAGCCACTCCCCATCCAGGATCTCGGGACAAAACGAGTTCTTGCCGTGTCCCCCCGCCAGAACACACCATTGCAATGGGAAATACAGAAACAAATTCTTTATTCGTTTTCCAACGCTCTGAAACCCATCCTGACCCAAGGCACTGGAACCCACCCCAGGCAGCACCTCTGCAGTATAATTATTTATACTCCCACGATCCAGCAGACAGACCAAAAACCACAGGGCTGCTCTAACCAGGGCAGAACAAGGTTTTCCTCATGTCACCAGTGACAATTCCCCACTTACAGGCAACATATACACACAGCACAGCCAGGCTGTTAGTGCTCCACACTAACAGAGGCAGGTTAACGTGTAAACGCGTTTGTATTTCAGATATTTGGTTTCTTTGTGTTTTAATTCTACTGAACAACTGGAGCAGACCCATGTTCTGCGGTCTCCATTGAGGTTGGCTTTTCCCTGTGCAGCCTCTCACTCTCAGGTTTGCTTTAGTTGATTGATGCATTTTGCTGGTGAGCAGAACAGCAGAGGGGCAGCTGCTCAGGACACAGCTTTTATACCTTTGGTTACAGCATTCTGTGTAAGCTGGGCTTCACCAGCCCAGTTAGTAGGCAAATGGGCGTTCCAAGCATAAAAGTGTATCAAAAGGGTCAGCCAGAATGGCCACTACCTAACCAGAACATGAACTAACCTAAGTCAATGATCAGAGTAATTAATAAGGCATTTGGGAGGAAAAAAAAAAAAAGAAAGAAAGAAATCTTTATCATGATTGAGCTTGAATGTTTCTTCCAACCTAAACCATTCTATGATCAGCCGCTTGCCATGACCCAGCAGGCTCCCCAGGCCTCCTTTAGTCCTCCCCACCACACAGCCTGAGCAGAACCTTCCTGTAGTCCCCTGAGCAGTCTCCCTAGAGAGAGCAGGAAAAAGGAACACCGTTAGTTTTGCAGCTCCGTGGAAAGCAGGATTCCCTTCAGCATCAATGGCTTATTGCAGTGTTTGTATCCTCTTTGGCAATAACCAAGAACATTCAGGAGGGTTTTCAGCAGATAAATGTAAAGTCTCCTCAATTCCACCCCCTCTAAAATACCCAGATGCTGTTTTGAGGCTCTCCTTGTGCTGCTCAGCAAACCCAGGTGTGTGCAAGGCTCCGAGCTCACCTTGATGAAGGAGTGGAGTGATTTTCCATACATGGCCAGGAACTCCCTCCTGATGTAGAGCATGTCTATCTCAGCACGGGACACCATCACCCGGATCAGCGTGCTGTCATCAGTGCCCAGGCCCTGCGGGGACACAGCAGCAGCTGGGGACACGCAGGGACACACAGGGACAGGCCCTGAGCCTTGGCCCTCCCTGCCATCCACTCCTGGCATTAATGCAGGCACCCACTACCAGCTCTGAGCTTCCTGAGGGAAAAGAGCTCCACTAAAAACCTCTGAGCCTCCTGAAGGAAATAACTCCACAGAAAACCTCTGAGCATCCTGAAGGAAAAGAGCTCCACAAAAAACCTCTGAGAATCCTGAAGAAAAGAGCTCCACAAAAAACCTCTGAGAATCCTGAAGAAAAGAGCTCCACAAAAAACCTCTGAGAATCCTGAAGAAAAGAGCTCCACAAAAAACCTCTGAGCATCCTGAAGGAAAAGAACTCCACAGAAAACCTCTGATTTGTTCATTTTTTCCCTCCAATTAACACAGTTTCTTTTTCTCTAATTGCTATTGGCTTAAGCATGGAGAGGCGGGGGGGGGGGGGGGGGGGGAAACAGCAAAATCTCTTTACCTTCATGGATTTGTACAATCTTTCAGCAAAATAAGCAGGTTTGTTCCTCATGCACTTTACTGTAAGGGAGACAAGAACAAGATAATTAAAACCAAAAAACACTGAAGGATAAATTCTTCCCTTCCAGCACTTTCTCAGTGCCGACATTTATTCTGTGAAAGTGCAACTCAACGAGCACAGTGCAGACATCCAGAGTCAGTGACCTGCTGTCAATTGATGTCTCCATGCCCAGTGCACAGCAATAAAATATTTTCAAGGCTTCAAGGCTTCCACACAGCAAATGCCACCTGCCAAAGCATCCCTTGGCAGAGAAATATAAAGCACAGAGCCTTCTAAACCTTTGCATCTGCAAAGATTAAAACACTGTGCCTTGTAAAACAGTGAGAAAGAATGTGCCTCCTGAAGCTGTGCAAACAGCCAGGGCAAGTGTCTTTAATTATTTAATTAGTTTGTAGACAAAGATTAGAAGCAGGGAACTCACCCACAGCTAACAAAGCATCCTCGAGGTCTCCTGACATCTCGGATTTAATGCTGTCTGTGATGTCCTTATTAGCAATCCCTCTGTACACATCAAAAACTGGAGGAAGAGTTGGATAACAGAGCCAAGTGAGCTGCTGCAGTGTGTGCCCCCCGAGGATCACTTTGCAAGATCAAGCTCCTCACAGCCTGTACAAACACTGCACCATTACCACGACACTGTACGCTAAATCAGGGCTGCCCCCCAGAAACAATTCATTTTAATTATCAGCTCTCTTGCTAATTAGCCAGCCACCGCTGCAAGGATTTTCCAGAACTGCTTTTTAATGCAGACATTTTCCATGTTTAGCTCTGTCCCGTGGGAGTCACACTTCATTATCTCCAATTCACAGGCTGGAGGAAGTTGGATGGGTGTTTTACTGAACCCCCATTTTGAATCCACTGGCCCTGAGAATATCTGTTGTCTCAGGAATGGACCACAACCAGTTAATGAAGAAGCTGGATCCTCCTATAAAATACTGTCCTCAAAGCAGGGAAAAGCCCAGGACACCAGAGAGGCCCTACCTCTGAGCAGGTGGCACCTGTTCCTTGTGCAGAGGATGGACAAGAACTGCACCTCATCTGTTCCCCATTTCTTCTCCCCAGCTGCATACAGCGCCTGCAAGGCATGAACAAAGTGGGGATAACTGAGAACACCAGGGGTGTGTAATGAGATTTTTGCTTCACAGAACCATTTGGGCTGGAAAAGCCCTCTGAGGTCACTGAGTTCCCCACCAACTCATGTCCCCAAGTGCCACATTCACGTGGCTGTTGCGTCCCCTCAGGGATGGGGACACCACCCCTGCCCTGGACAGCCGGTGCCAGAGCTGGACAACTCCTATGGGGGAAAAATATTTCCTAATTCCCAATCAAGCCTTCACCTGGGGCACTGCTGGCCAGCACAGCTCCAGGTTTACTCATCGGCCTTGAGAAAAAGAGGTCTGTAAACAGCAGGGACTCACCACACATCACACACACAAACCCAGACAGTTCTTGCCAGGAAGCAAATTGCTGCACACCTGAGCATCTTGTTGAGCAAGGGCCTCATCCACGAATGTTCCCTCATCTCTGTTGCCCTGCAGTAATACAAGGATGAAAAACTCATTTCAACAGAACAGCTAATGGAAGTCAGCCCTGCAAATTCTCCATTCAAAACCAGTTATTGGAGATGTATAATGGGATTCTTAACATTGAGTAATGGGTTACAAATACAGCAAAACATGATTCAGATGTGATTGTTCTTTCTTTTGAAACAGCCATCCACTTTATTAAAAAGAGCATAGGGCATTAAGGTGTTGCAGAATGAGGCTTTTGTCAGGGATGAGCTATTTGTCAGTGAGGAGAGACTCGGACACTCAATATGAGTGATAAGCAAGTTCTGTTTATTGAAGAGAGCATCAGACACTTATACAGCAAGTAATAAACTTATGAATATTCTGTAAACTGAGCGATCTATTGGTTAAACTATACTATCAACTCTTCTTCATTCTTTTAAGCTTACATTCTTTATTTCGCACGTCTCTCTGTCTACTTGTTATCATACTCAACTAAACTCAAAGACACACTATCTTACAAGTGCAAAAACTCAAACTAACTATATTCAATACTTTCTCAGCTCCTAACCAACTAACAAGTGAATGTCTACGTGATCTCTGTCATGCAGCCATTTCTCCACACTAAGGCATGGCAGAGCGAGGCTGCTCTCCCTGCAGAAGCTGGCAAGGTGACATGCAAGGGAAGTGAAACAGCAGCCAGCCTGAAGCACCTCTGTGGGAAATGGATTTATAGGAAATTCTCAAAGCCTGACAGCAGGCTCACAAATTGTGCAAACTTTGATATAAGAAGCGAGTGAGGGATGCCCAGCAGATGTTCACCCAGATGTTGTTGCCCTGCCTGGACTCACCGTGGCGAGGGATACGAGCACCCTGCGGAATAGGGACGAGGTGTCAGAGACAATGTCGTCCTCCAGGGTGGATCCGTACTCTGCAGAGCACACACACAGGGCACAGCTGTGACTGACAGCCCACAGAATACACAGAATGCAGAATTTGCTGCCTGGGAAGGGACCCAAAGCATCACCAGGTCCAGCTCCTGGGCCTGCATAGAACCTTCCACCATGCGCCCAAGAACATTGTCCAAACACTCCCTGAGCTCCATCAGGATTGCTGCTGTGACCACTGTTCCAGGGAGCCCATTCCAGCGCCCAGCCACCCTCTGGGTGAAGAACCTTTCTCTAATATCCTAACTGTCCTAACCTTTTCTAATATCCTAAACCGTCCCAGGATTTGAATTGCCTCAGCAGTGCAGCACTGGGAGGCGGGCAGGCATGTCCTGCTGGCCACACAGTGACTAGGACAAGCCAGGATGCCCTTGCCCTTCCTGGCTTTCATCACAGCAATCCAGCCATCACATGGAGTGGTGCAGGGCAAAATTCACAAGCACAGCCAGGATAAAATTGGTAAAAGATCCACCGTGCATAGACCTCCATCTGACAGACATAACCACCCCACCCCATTACACCAACTCAATTTCTGGGTGCAATTGTAGTCCCTGGTGCTGACAGACCCTTCTCCTGCCTCTCCACACGCCCCTGCACACACAGAGGTGGCTTTGGAGCCAGTGAGGAATTGCAGAGCGGGCTACGTACGGAGTTTGTAGTTCTCATTGATGCGCTGGATCTCGGCGTTGGTGCGAGACGCCAGGATTTCAATCAGGCAGCCTTCATCTGTCCCTGCTCCCTAGGGAATCACAGAGACAACACTGTGACAGCCAGGACTCTTGTTTAATAAGAAATTAATAATTCATATACAATTATGGCATTGCATACAGAATCAACCATAAGTCATGCAACACAAAAAGGGATTTCCAAACCTTTAGAGCCCTCCTCAGTTCATGCACGTCATACATGGCGGTAGGAGTCATCAAACCAATGATCACCCTTTCAAAATTCCCACTCAGCTCAGACTTCAAGTCATCAATCAAATCCTAGAAATCAGAAAGAGAAGAAAGGAGAAAAAGACGCGGCCTTTGAGACGAGGAAGAACTCGTTCAATACTTTCTTTGGGGTGAACAGTTACTCTGAAGTGAACAAGAACAAGGAAAGCTTGTGCTCAGTGCCAATCATACTTTTGTGGAGACTTCACATTTCACCCAGGTGGTACAACCCAAAAAGTCCCCATCTCCCAACGAGAGGCACAGCAGTGATCTCTGAAGAGCACCCACCCTGCCAATGGTGCTTTTATAGGTGATCAGAACTTGCTGGCGCTGGGAAACGTTCAGCTTGGTCAAGGTCTCAATGATGGCATCTTCATCCGTGCCTGGAAGGAACCACAGCAAACCAGTCAGGCCGCTTGCAGCAGGACCAGAGGCCTGTGTGTGCCACTGGGTGTGCCAATGGGCACACAACCTCACACACATCCTTGCACAACCTGGGTCTGATGTGTGCACCAGTGCCTCAGCCCAGCAGCCACACCACAGACACAGAAAACAAAACCTTGACTAAAGATGTGTTATGGCCAAGGTTTGGGTTTCCAGTGGGGTTCAAGCTGCCCAATTCCCTCACAAGGCAGTGAGGTGATGCAAATGGCTGAACTTCCCCTCCAAAAAACCACCAGTAAAAACCTTCCCAACCAGCAGAGCTAAAAAAGAAGGTTTAACAGTGGAGGGAGACAACTTACCAAGCCCCTTCATGGCCTTCCTTAGTGCCTGTGCTTCTTGCTCAGCACTGAAAGCTGAGATACCCTTGACTGTTGCCTAAAGCCAAAGGAGAGGAGTTATGAAAAGTGGTCACAAGGGGAGACATTCACAGAGTAGAGCTGAATTAAAAAAAAAAAAAGACAATTCAAGAGATGCGAACATCTCTTTCAGAAAGTGACAGCAAGTAAAGTCTGCCTTCCAAACGTGAGTGATTTTATACCAGGTTCCGTCCATTTCAAAAATGAAATGGTTTGTTCCAGAAGGATTCCCAGGCACATAAGAAATAAGCTACAGGGACACAACTGAAAGGAGAAAATATCTTAATGTGGCTGCCCATGCTGTATCTGTTTTCCAGCTAAATAAGGGCACACTGCAGACATCTCTGTTCAGTCCAGCTTCTTCCCAGCAGTTTTCCATGTAAATCACAGAAGAAGCTGTTCCCAGCAAAGCCCCATTCCTGACCTCTCTAAGAGCAGTCAAGGGCCATCATTCTGTTAAATAACACAGCAGGAAGTGCAGTGTTTCACCCCAAATGGCGCTTCACAAACAGGTTTATCCTGCCCATGGTCTAGTGCAATTTCTGGGGAAATACGCTTTTCTTGCTAAGCTCTTTGTGTTCCCAAGAAAATCATCAGTGGTAAAAGCATCACTCAACATTCAATGGGCAGAAAAGTGTTTCCCTGTCCCTGGAAGTATTCCAGGTCTGTCTGGATGGGGCTTGGCCTAGGAACTTTATCTGGAGAAATTAATGTTCTTTGAATTATTTGAATATCTGATCTGGTTTTCCATTAACTCCCCAAAGGCAAAAAGCCTGTGTGTGTGTGGGCCATTCTCCTCTGCAATGAGGAAGCAGAAAGAAGTGATAAATTCACCCCCATGAAGGGACAGACAGTGACAGGTTCTTCCTGCTGTGTCCTTATCTGAGCTCCACTCCCCACCTTTATCAGGCCAGGGCAAAGGCTTGGCACAGCCTGGCACAGCAAACACTCTCACTCACCATCCTGCCCAGATCTGCTCAATCTGTTATTGTCTGTGTCCAGCGCACTGACAGCTGCAATAATAAAACACAGGGAGTGTTAGTTTTCTAGCAAATCATTAATAGAATACACCTTCCCTCGAAGGTTAATGGGGCTGGTTAAATAACCATCAAATTTTTGAGGAATAAAGCAGGATTGAGCAGCACAAGGGCAGCTCCCCTGAGTGTCCAGCCCTGCTTTGTGCTGGGCAAAGGCTGTAGTTTTAACTGACAAAACCCTCCAAAAACCCCAAAGCTTCCTGGCCATCTGCCCAGGGTTACTAGTTCACAATTTCGTTGGCAGACAGAGAGCCTTTGCATGAACACACCCAAATTTCCCTGAGTCCCTGATCCCCTGACAGGGTGCCACGTACCAGGACAAGGTTCACTTCCCCACAGTTCATGCCCCAGGTTCACTTCCCCACAAGCCAAGTTCATCCCAGCATCCCAGCAGAGGGGCTAGGAAAGGCAGACTCAAAGAGATACCCACACAGAGCAATTATTAGTGCTGAGTTTGCCTCCTTTCATCTGATCATAAATCCCAGTCATCACGGTGCGACCTAGGCCTCAGAAAAGTCATCTTTGCTCTTCTCTAATCTTTCTACAGAAGTAAAAAGCCAATTTGCCAGATAGGCTCCAAATTTCACTGCTGTTTTTGTGACGGAGCTGGCCTGCACACAGAAGCAGGAATATCAGACAGGCTGGTTGAGCAAGTCAATCAGAGGGCAAAATAAAGGTCAGTGGGAAGGGAAAGGGAAGCAGGGAAATTCTGAGCTGGCAGAAGGAAACCAAACCATGAGGAGAGGCTGCATGCACTGCACTCGGGGAGAATCCCCTCCCAACACCCATTAACAGCAGAAACACCACACTGAATATTGACTGCAGGACTGATTTCTTCATCCTGGGAATTGAAAGAGCAGGCACTGGGAAGGCAGCAGTGCACAGCACTGCTCAATCTGAGAGTGCTGGTTTGCTCCTGGTGCATTTCTGTGTGAGATGAGCACTGAGGTTACAGGTGGGAGAGCCCAGCCAGGCTGTAACCCCTCATGCAGGGGCTTTAGATGAATGAAACTCCCCTAAGCCACCCTTTGGCAAGCAGAGAGAGGGGGAATTGCTCAGCAGATTTGCCGGTGCTCAGCAGCTTAACACAATTCCTGGTGTGCAGCTCAGTCGGGGAAAAGCAGCTCCAGGACAGGAACAATATTCACTCTGTGCTTTGGAGAATTAAACTGCGCATGCAAGAGTGAGCCAGCCTGTGCTATGGCCCTGATGTTATTCGCTTCATCCCAGAATAAAGGCCTGGCAGAGAACAAGCTCCAAACACTGTGCCCAGGTGACAGAGTGCGAGTGTAGGAGGCATCCCTCGCATCACTCGATTTGTTTTTTTCCATGGATGATCTTTCCCTGGCAGGCTTTATCAGCTAAACAGCCAGTTTTAAGTCCGTATCAAACATCCTCTAAAAGCTGAATAAACCTGATTTATCAGGAAAGTGCTGACACTATTACATGTGCTGGCCAGTTCAAGTTTAGGCTTGCACACAGTCAGGTTTTCCTGGCTATGTTTGGAGCACACACAGAGGAACCACCAGGGAAAGTTCCAACAGTTTAAGAGGATATAAACACAGGGCTTTTCCCTTCCCAGTTTGAGGTGTAGGACTGTCAGCGTTTCCAGTCCTTCACCTCGGCTCTGCATGGGAACCCACCGCTTTGCGACCCTTTTCCTTGCCAGGCAAACCCCGGACCTGTCAGACGGGTTCCTGTATTGGGTGCACGTTTACCCGAGCACAACCCACACCCAGGGCCGGGTCAGCGTTTCCAGAGCTCGGTCCTTGCCTGCTGTTCGGTGTGCGGGACGGGCGCGGGCTGCGTGCCGGGACTGTGTGCGGGACGAGCCCGGCTGCGCTCCCCGCTGTGCCCAGGCTGTGCCCGGGCTGGGCTGGGCTCGCCGCAGGCTCTGACCCCAGGAAGGGATCTGCCCCGAGCCCCGAGACAGCTGAGGCATCCCAGAGCCTCCCACACAGTGACCTTTATCTGGCCACGGCCCTCAGGAGGAATCAAACAGGATTCTTACAGCTTTGTGGGCCCCATTCAGCCTGTGCGCGCACCCCTGCCATGCCCTGGCACCAAACAGGAACCAAACCCGCACTCGCTGTGCCCGGGCAAGGTCAGCCCTTCCTCCATGCCGAACTGTCCCCTGTCCTTGCTCAGCCCGGGCAGGGCTGCCCTGGCACCGCTGGCACCGCCCTGCCCGGTGCGATGCCGTCAGTGCCCGCTGCGAAGGGGCATTGGCACCTTCCTCCATCCCAAACTGTCCCCTGTCCTTGCTCAGCCCGGGCAGGGCTGCCCTGGCACCTCTGGCATCGCAGCACCCCCAGTGCCCGCCGCGAAGGGGCATTGGCACCTTCCCGGGCACCGCCGTGCCAAGGGGGACGCCTGGCACTCACCTGCTGTCCCTGCGGCTCCCTGGCACAGACGGGCAGAGCTCCGGTGGCTGCCCCGGGTGGCGAAGTCCCCGCCCTGGCGACACGCGGCGGTGACGTGAGGGAGCTCCAGCCCTGCCCTGCCCATCCCTGAGCGCTGGGCTGGGATCCAGGGCAGGGAGAAGCTCCCGGGGAGCCTCAATCACATAACACATTCGGGATGTAAACCCCCAAACTGCACTTTTGGGGTTACAAGGAGGGAGCTCCAGCCCTGCCCTGCCCATCCCTGAGCGCTGGGCTGGGATCCAGGGCAGGGAGAAGCTCCCGGGGAGCCTCAATCACATAACACATTCGGGATGTAAACCCCCAAACTGCACTTTGGGGGTTACACGGAGGGAGCTCCAGCCCTGCCCTGCCCATCCCTGAGCGCTGGGCTGGGATCCAGGGCAGGGAGAAGCTCCCGGGAAGCCTCACTCGCACTGCACGTTTGGGATTAACCCCAAACTGCCCATCCCTTAGCAGTTCATTGTGATCCAGGGCAGGGAGAAGCTCTCGGGAAGCCTCACTCGCACTGCTCGTTTGGGATGTAAACCCCAAACTGCTCTTTTGCAGTTTGCTCTTTTTTCAGCATGGGGCACACGGGCAGCAAAACCCTCGAGCAAGAAGCCCTGTTCCTCCCCCGGCGCTGTTTGTGGGGATTCCTGATCTGTATCGTGCCTCCTGTGCTCCCACAGCACCACTCTGGCTCTTCAGCATCCTCACCCCTTGCCTAGGAACTCTGCACTGCAAACGGCCACGATTTCAGTTAGGATGGTTCTTTGCATAACGATTGCTCATTTTGCCCCACGAATGGCAGTGCCCTCAAGCCAAAACCCCGCAGGCAAAGGGACTTCAGTTTTACGTTCCAGGGTCAGCCATGGACAGCATCACAGGGCTGACACGGGGAAATCAGCCTTGCAGTAAAGATTCCTTGTTTTCAAGTGTTTATCCTCAGCACCTTTGGTCTCCTCTGATGCCCAACGTGCTGTTATTATCATGGGTTTTTTCCAGCTCACAGGACAGCTCTGTCTCATCCCTGTGCCTCTCTGCTCATGCTCCTCTGCTGGAAGGAACCTAAATTTAGCAGCCTGGATGTGGGCAGGCTGTGCCTCAGTGAGCATGTCTGTGTGGGTTATTTATTGCAGCTCCTGCTCCCAAAACAGCTCCACGGAGCCCAGCACCTCCTGCTGATGCGAGGGGATGGACCAGGGGAACAGAAAAATGAGGTCCAAGCCTCAAGCCCTCTCCTTTTGCACTGCAGAGCCTCTTTCCTTGCAGAACCTGGCGCCTGACCAGGATCCAGCGTGGACCAGCGCACATAAACTGTTGCTAAGGAGAAACTTTTCTCTTTCCTACATCTGTGAAAGTTTCCATTCTCAGCCCTTTCTCTCACGTCAGCAGTCCCTGCTTTGGGCCCGTTTTAATCCCCCAGCAGAATTGCTGTGTTTCTCCATCTTGCATTGCCAGGGATTTTTTTTTAGCCTGGGTATTTTCATCCTTCTGTTTGCTTCCCAGTCTCTTCAGCCCCGAGGACTGGGAGGCTCTGTCACTGCAATCAACTGGTACATGCAATAGTAATTATTCAATACCACGAGTTATTAATTTTCTTTACAAATTAGCTAAATATTGCAGCAATCCTCCCATTCATTCTTTTCACAGTTTAACCTTTTCTTTCCCCCTGGCAGAGGCACCAAGTAGGAGGAACAGTTGAAGGTACAAAGTGTTTGTGTGGACGTTTTTGGCCACCTGGAGTTAGTCATGTAAGCGAATTCCATTCAGCAGCCAGATCCTGACACATCACACAGCCAAGTTCCCTGGAATCATGGCTGGTTATGGGTGCTGGCTCCAGAGCCATCAGATTCAGTCACAAATATTTGGATCAGAAAGGAAAACAAAGAGGCACAGAAGCTTCTGAGCACGCTGAGAGTGTCTGAGCTTCTCTGGAAGGTGGATAGAATGACAGGGGGTTTGAGGAACCCTGTTGTACCTTGCTCCAGGAGCTGCTCCCTCCAGGAGGGGCCAAGGGTTGTTGCTGTATTTTCCTGGACCAGGTTCAGGTGACAAAGCTTTGTCTCTCTAGGGGTCCTTTGTGCAGGGGCTGCTCAGCTTTCAGCTTTGTCTTCATCTCTGAAAGGATGGGAAGGCTGTGGTTATTCTCCAGTACCTCCAGCTGGAGGATATCACTGGCTGGCGTGGCTTTGCTGTCCTTGCATCAAAGAGGGACAGCAGGGGACAAGCCCGCAGCCCCCCTCAGTGCAGTGACAGAGCACGTTGCTCTTCTGCTCACAGATGCTTCATTTGTCCTGTCAATTATTTTAACCAGCCTTGGTTTAAAGCTCTCGACCCCCCAGACTTTACTCAGTTACACACATGCTTTCCATTCCCATTCCATCCTGCTGTTCTCCCACCCACAAAAGACATAATGAAAATTAAAGGTCACAGAAAAGCAGGGAGGGCAGTGTGCAGTAAGCAAATAACTCGGGCTCAAGCAGCAGCCCTTTGGGTAGGGGTATTTCTTCAGTCCCACAATGAGAACAGAGCTGAACCTCTAGAAAATGGCAGCATTTGTTTTTGCCTGAAGGACCTGACCTTTTAAATTTGCATCTCAGAGAGCAAAGGAGCCTTGTGCTAGGAGGAGAGATTTCAGTGTGCCCTTTCATCAGCAGGTACCTGCCTTTGGCTCTGGAGGAGCAGCCTCACCTCACTGAGCTCCAAATTCTGACACCAATGAAGTCATTCAGCAAGGGAGGGTCAGAATCTGACCCTTTGGGATTAAACTGGTGTGTTTGGGAGGTTCACACCAAGGGAAATGCTCATTTTCATACCTGAGCACTGGCAGTGTGCAAGCAGCCCCGAAAATGGGGTTATTGAAGGGTTGCACAAGTGCTGTGGGAGTGTGTTGGATGCTGTGGCTCAGTCAGTGCTGTCTCCATAGCAGCAGTGCCCGAGGGTAGGGTGGAGGCTGAAAACCAGCCCTTGCTTTTCCAAAGCACCGAGCCCTGTGTGCTTTTAGGAGGGTAAATTCTCATTCTGTGTATTAATATCACAATAGTCCCAAAGTGAACTGCAGTTGTTAGGGCTCCCTGCAGACATCCAGGGGCACTTCTGACCCTTAGAGCCAGGGTGTCCTTACCTGCTCATGGAAGGTGAAACAGCCACGAGCCTGAGGTGTTTTGGGAAGAGGTGTTTTGGGGAAGGCCTCGGGAAGAGGCAGCCTGGAGCTGTTGATCCATGATTGGAGCAGAGCCCTTGTAACACAAAGAGAGGAAGGAAGATGAAACACTCCCAGGCCTAGGTGAGCAGCGCTTATTTGAGTGGGAAAACTGAACTATTCCAACTCACACAAGCAACTGGAGTGTTCTTAACTCTCCATAACCACTGGAAACGCTGCTTGTGCACTCAGCATTATCAGGGGAATGCGCAGCATTCACCCTTTTAGCAATCCAGGCAGGATTCAGAACCCTGAGCACAGCATACCAGCACTGCTATGCGAGTCAAAGGCTCTCTGGGTGGATTACATAAACATAAATGTCACACACGGCCAAGAAGGAGCTGGGAGCAGAACTGATTTGAGAGAACTCCTGTAAGCCAAGATGCCTTTAAAACAAGAGACCACTTGGACATGGCTGAGACAATGAGCTGTAAGGGGAGACAGCAACACAAGGATGAGACAGCCAGGAGTCGAATTCCCCCTCAAGCGCACTTCCATCAGCAGGTTCTCAAGGTGGGGATGCTCCGTTCTGCAGGCATCAGGGGATCCCAGCTCTCTCCCAGCTCCTCACTGACAGCTCCAGCAGCATCTCGACGCCGGGGGCTCTCCGCAGCGCTGTCCCCCAGCATATGCTGTGCTGACACTGCCTCGCAGGTGCCCACCCACTCTGCCTTCCTCCCACGGGGAAACTGGAGGCTGCGCTTGGCCACGGGCCCAGGCTGCTGTTTGCTTTTCACCACTGAAGCTATAAACAGCAGGGAATGCAAGCAGGGCAGGCCATCGGTGCTCTGAGGGCTTCGCTGGCTCCCTGTGGCCCAGAGGGGAGCAGGAGTCAGCAAAACCCTCCGGAGAGGGAGGGGGCTTAACGAATGTTCGCTTTAATTAGCATACATATCGTTCTGAAGGGGAAATGAGTAGCTTTCACTTTTTCTTCTTAATTAATATCTGCCTCCACGTAGCTTAATCTCACTTAGCTGCTCTGTAATTTGGCCATGACCCAGCTCTAGGGGATGGAAGCAGAGCCATGACTGCCCAGCTCAGGATGACTTTTCCTGACCCTGCATTTAAACAGAAGTGGGCAAAGGGCGTGGGCAGAGCCGGGTGAGGTAGCTCGGTGCAGGAGGAGCCCCAACAGGATCCTAACACAGCGGATAAATCCCTTCTCAGGGAGAACCCAGCCCGCAAACCTCCCTCAGTGTGGCAGCAGCTGCTTTAAGGGACAGAGGGGAGCTGTGGTGCAAATCCTGCTCCTGCAGAAGCACAGGGCTGTGTCCCACCAGTGCACACAGGGTCGGTCCAGGCCGCTGCATCCCACGGGTGGCAGCCTGCAGAGCTCAACCAGCCCCATCATTTGTGGGAGTGCCACTGCTAGGGATGGAGGATTCCAGCCACAGGGAGCAGAGCCATTGCTGGAGCCACTGAGGATGTCCTACAAGGGCAAACAGCAGCACCAAGGAGGTGGAAGCTTCCAGTTCTGAAACATGTGAAATACAGGTCTGAGTTCTGGAGTGTTTTTGTTCCTCTGCACAACTCTGAACCCAGTAAAGCCCAGCTCCATGATAGTGTGCTTGAGAACTGACCTTTTCCTGGGGGTGATGGAGACCAGTGATGGTTTTTCTGCTCATACTAATGGTGTTTGGGGGCCACTACCGCGCACTTGGGAAGAAATCCTTGAAAACCAGAAAATCACAGGCAGAGAGAGGATAGAACAGTGGCTCTATTCCTTGCTGGTGAGAAGCTTAACAGAGTTTTTTGCAGTGAATGTATATTTAAAGAGACATAGGATTGTGGAATGCATTGGGTCAGAAAGGACCCTAAAGTTCAAATCTCCATGGGAAGGGCCACCTTCCACTGTCCCAGGCTGCTCCAAGCCCTGTCCAGCCTGGATTTGGGCATTTCCAGGGATCCAGGGGCAGCCACAGCTGCTCTGGGCACCTGTGCCAGGCCCTCATCCCCCTGACAGGGCACAATCCCTTTCTTATATCTAACCTGAATATCCCCTCCCTTACTTTGAAACACTTACCCCCATCACTGCGTAAAAAGGGCTCTCACAGCATCCTTATCAAGATTAAGACCTCATTATTTCGCGGTGAATTCAGGAAAAGCTGTGCCAGCTCCGCTCTCCATCGCTGCCGCTCCCCAGCTCTCCAGAAGGGGCCAGTGCGGCCTCGCCTTTGGGGCCGCAGGAACGCTGCCCAGGCCTGCGCTTTTATTTAGAAAACGCTGAGCTGTCCGGAAAGTTTGATGGAGAGGGATGCAGCCGTATGAATGTGCTTCTTCCCGGGGATTTGAGTGCATTTTCCGAGCGGCGCAGGAGGAGCGGGGATGGGGCAGGCAAGGCGCGGGGAAGCGGCTCCGCCGACCGCGCTCGGATATTTTAAACCTCGCGTCATGGGATTTCAGCAGCTTAAAACGCAGCGTTTGGCACTGAGTGCATTAGTCAGAGGCTGCTCTCTGCAGCACGGCAGGCCTGGAGCGGCTGTGGCACGGGAGAGGCACCAGGCCCCGCGTGTGCTGTGGCCGCGGAGCAGCTTTTCCCCTTTCGGGCTCAGCTCCCCGTGATCCCTGTGAAGGTCACTGGGATTGCAGCAGCCTGGAATAAAGAATATTTATTTATGCTCCGCGTCTGCAGCCGGGCACGGCTCCTGCTGTGCTTTGAATGGTCATGGTGGGGTTTGTGTGAGTGGGCCGAGCATCAGAGCCCCCAGCGTGCGTGGGCCTGACACTGCCTGCACTGCACTGCACTGCAGGTACGCTCAGAAAAAGCCCTCAGAGCCAGGGAGGAGGCTCAGCAGTGCATCTGCAGCTCTCTGCATGCAGTGGCTTTTATCTCCTTTACTTGGAAATGACTCATTTCCCTGTACTCTACGGAGATGCCCAATTTCCTTGGAAATGGTTCAGTTCTGCAGAGTCCCCAGAAATCCCCAGTGTCGGGGCCCAGTTTTTGCACTGGGTGTTTTACCTGGGTTGAGAGATGCCTGGGGATTTTCACAGGTTAGAGAAATTTAAAAAATAATTTAAAATAACGGACAGAAGGAACCGAGACTTTATTCAGCTCGTATTTATTCCAAAGGGCACGTGAACCTTCTGTACTGAGCTCTGGCAGTTAATTCATCACAGAGCCCCAAAGCACAGCCAAGCATGTTTCATGCAGATTGAAGGCTGCAAATGAAAAAGGGCTGTTTGCACACGTGTGCTGGCTGCCATCACTGCAGCTCCAGCTGCGTGGACTGGGGCTGTATTGGAAATGAGGGGCAGCCAGCAGCCACCCTACAAATTATGGGTGGCTGAAGGTGGTCAGAGGAGGACTTTCGGGCCCGTACCTTTAAGCCCTGCTGAGGATGAGGATGGTGGAAGATACGCAGCATTATCCACAGTGAAGAGGCACAGTGGCTCAGCAGAAAAACAACTGTAGTGGCGTGCTGTCAGATCTGTGTATTGCTAAATGTTGCCACCAGCAATTTTACCTGCCTGTTCTCAGAGCCATATGCATCTTAAAAGCCTTCAAACACCGAGAGGAAAAACCCAATTAGAGCCATTTACAACAGGCTGATCCAATCTTGCTGGCATTGCTGGAAGCCTGTGACCAAAGCCAGGCCAAGGGCTGTGTGAAGGATAATGTTTATCCTGTGAAGGATAAACATTTTAGTCACCCCAAAGCAACCAGGCCTGGCCTACCCTGGGGACAGGGGCTGGAGAAGGATGGCTGTAGTTATTACCATAATACAGGAAATAATGTTCATTGGGAAAATGGGACCATGCTTTGGTTTCCTCTTCCATCCCAGTCAGAGGGGAGGAAGGAGAGTGGTGTTGTTATGGAGGTATTCATTGGCAGCCAAGTGCTGCTTGGGTTTTGTATTTTGGTGCTTCATTCTGGAAAAAAACTAATTTTTGCCATTTTAACATCTCCCTGTGCTGTTTGAAATCCCAGCTCTGGCCTTCAATAGTGCATGAGGAGAGAAGTCGGCTGCTCTGGATGACATAGGCAGGGAAAGTCTCCTCATTTCTAAGGAAAAAATGCTGAGAAGTACCCAAAGTGCATTTAAACTGCGTTTCCCAGGATCTGAGCTCAACTAAACCTTTCCAAAGCCTGACCCCATGGCTTTGGGCTCTGGAGGAGCTGCAGTGCCCCTGAGGAACATCGTGCCAGGCAGGAAGGAGGAGGAAGCTGTAATTCCAACAGCAAATCCAAGGCACAGCTACCAGGTGTAAAACACTAAAGATGTTTTAAGGGCTTGGGATATTTCAGGATTTTTTCTTTGCTCTGAAAGCAGGCGCTAGCAGAGCTTGTGTGAAGATAAGCCTGGTGCTTCAGGTTAATCCCTAGATATCACAGCAGTGGCCTTTTATTATTATATCACAAGAACATCGACTTTAGCGAATTATTTCAAAGATAAACATAACTACCCGTCACCATGCACACCCTAATATGGGCCGTGGTTTCCCACGGACAGGATTTCTGCACTAATCCCTCAGGGCGAGGAGGAGGACACAGAGCCCCCGGACCCCGTCCGCTGTCCCGGGGCAGCCTCCGGTCCCGGCCGCTCCGAGGGGCGACCCCGGCCCGGGCCCCTCGGCACAGCGCCCCCTGCCGGCCGGAGCCGCGCGGCATGCCGGGACTTGTAGTCCCCAGCGCCGTATGGCCCCCCTTCCGCCCGCCACGGGGAACTACCGCCCCCAGCGTGCCGCGCGCGGCGCCGCCATCCCGCCGAGCCTCCGCTCCCCGTCCCGCAGCACCGTGGGGCGCTTCGGGGGCTGCGGGACGGGACATCCCGGGACGCGACATCCCGGGACAGGGCACAGCGGAGCGGGACGGGACGGGACGGGACGGGACAGCCCGGGGCGGCGGGGCCGGGCCCTGCCGCTGGCGGAGGCGCGGGGGCGGCGCTCCCGACGGCAGCCGGGACTTCCTGTGACGGCCCATTTCCTGGTCGGATGGGGCCGGCGGGGGGCGGCGGCGGCGGGGTCGGTCCCTGTCCGTGTCCCTGACGCGCTCGGTGGTCGCCGGTGACGCCGCCAGGCAGCGATGCGGGCCCCGGGCCCTGCCGGCAGGCGGCCCCCGCCGTGACCCGCCGGGGCTGCGCAGGCCGGCCCCGCGGGGCGCATGGAGGCTCCCGCCGCCCTCTGCGAGGTACCGGGCAGGGTCGCTGCGGGCCGGGCTCGCGGCGGGGCCCGCGGGGGTGACGCCGCAGGCCCGTTATCCGCGCTGCTTTTGCAGGTGTGATCCCCGGGGGACAGCGCGGCTCGGCCCCGCCAGGCCGGCCCCCCTCGGCCGCGGCAGGAGCCGCAGGGCTCGGCACCGACACCGGCATCGCCCCGCGGCCCCGCCGCCGCCTCCTGAGACATGAAGAAGTTCTTCGACTCTCGCCGCGAGCAGGGCGGCTCCGGGCCCGGGGCGGGCAGCAGCGGCGGCGGCGGCGGCAGCAGCGGCCCCGGCAGCGGCTACATCGGCCGGGTCTTCAGCATCGGCCGGCACCAGGTCACCGTGGACGAGGTGCTGGCGGAAGGTGAGGTTCCGGTGCCGTTCCGAGCGCTCCGTGGATGCGGCTTTCCCCTCCCCAGGCTGGGAGGCCTTGGGCTGTCCCGGGCAGCCAGCCCGCTCCTTGACCCCCAGATTGCTGAATGTTTCATTGTCCTTGGCAGAATTGCGGTCCTGTGGTGTCTGCAGGCTGATGTGTCTGGTGTTCCCATCTGTAAATCCAGTGTGGGTTTGCTAGATTTGGCGCTTTTTTTAATGCTTTAGGAATTGGGGGATTTTCAGAAGTTAATTGTTTCTCACTTCTCCTAAAGTGGGAATTAATAAAACCAAAAGAAACACCCAAACCAAAATTGTCATATATTTTGGTGCAGAACAAGGTGCTGGAAATAAAGAAAGCAGCGTCCTCTGCTCTTAAACTTTCTTCAGCTGTTACCTCCTTTGCCACCTCGAGCAGAGAGGATTAAAACACTGGAGTAAATTCCTTGTTATGCACATAGGTAGGCTGAGCAGGACTGGCTGTGACCTGGGATGAGGGATTTCTCTGTGTGTGGGATGTCTGCAACGCGAAGCGGTGATCCCAATTGCCTTTTTTTCTTTTTTTTTTTTCCCCCAAATAAAACAGAGACCTAAAAATGAATCCTGGGGGTTACAGAACTCATGACGTGTGCAGGCCTTGCAGTGCAGTAAGCTGCTGGTGGCATTTGTTTAATTGTAACCAGCTCTGCTGCTCCAACTATCATTTTACATTTCATTTGTTGGGGCTGCAAGGAGCCTCCTGAACGGCTCTGCCTGGTAACCTTAGCCTCGACCTTCAGGGAGGTGTTGGCCTCTTTAGACCTGCTCCTGGTGCCTCCTGCGCAGCATCCTGGGCAGATTTAGTCCAAGCAGTGTTTTGTTTTGATGGCGAGGGAGAGCAGAGCTGCTGGGAGAGAGCTGAGTGGGAGGACCTGTGTTGGCTTTTACAGAAAGAGCCCTAAAATGGAAAAGGGACTCTGTGTACGCTGCCTGTGTTCAGATTTGTAAGAATTCACCGCGGTGTGCAGGAAAATAGGTCTGTGGCTGTTCTTCAGACTTGGTTTCTGGTGTGTTCTGCTGAGAGGAGCACTGAAGCCAGGCTTTTACCTAGCAACTATAGTGATTTTTTCTCCTTTGAAATTTGCACTATAGGTTTGCCTGGGCTGGTATTTCCAAGGCCCTTTTGGCCCTGGGAGCTGAGGACCCACATGAACTCAACTTGGGAAGCTGTCAGTCTCCCTTTAATGCAGGATGGCCTCATCCTGGTAGCAGGGAAAGGCAGAGGCTTTTTTTGCTGATGAGTAATGTGCTGGCAGGTTCTGCCCCGGGAAGAGGAGCCGTGTGTGTGTCACTGGGCTCTGCTGCTGCTGCAGAGGTGGAGGTGGGAGCGCAGATTGCCTGGGGGGGAAGAGCCTCCCTTCCCTGCCTGCCTGTCCTGGGGGAGCTGCTGCTTCTGGGGGCTCTTCCCTGCACCTCCTGGTTCCTGCCTGTGGGATGCAGCTCTGGGTTCATGCGTGCAGGCTGAGCGCTGTGAGACTGTGAGGCAGAGGGAGCTCTGGTGGAAGGTGCTGCCCAGGTACCTCCCTCCCGGTGAGACGGTGTGAAATCCTTCTGTGTGCAGAGCAGAGCCTCCAAGGGGCACCAGCAGGGCGGTGTGTGCTGGTCTGCAGGTTGTCTTGCTGGTTTTTGTGCTGGGGAGCAGCGTGGCTCAGGAGCGCTGCAGCTCTGGGTGTGCTGGTGAACAGCCTTTTCTCCCTGACTCAGCTGGAGACCTGGGGAGCTCGTGGGCAGCCCAGTCCCTGCACTCCTGACGCCTGGAGAACCTCTCTGTAGCTGCAGTGGTGCTTCAGCAGTGCTGAAGAGGCAACTCCTGGCTATTTGTGCTGAAAGGAAAAGTCCGCTGGGAAGCGCTCTGGAGGAGGAGTATCCTGTCTGGGGAGGAAGGACCTCTCATCCCAGTTGCTTTAGGAGGGAGTGGGGAGGGCTGAGTTTGGGTGCAGCCTGTGAAACATGAAAAATACGAGATGTAAAAGAGAGAAGCGATGAAGTGATGAATGGTGTTGGAGCAGAAGTTTTGGAATGGAAGCGCTGGGGTTTGGCTGTGCCTGGTCACCCTGAATTCTGCTGAGCAACCCTGCTGCTGATGGGGAGCGTGCCCTGGCTGCAGCACTGCCTGTGCCAGGTGCCAAATGGCTCCACGTGCCTCTGGGCTCTTGTGTAGATCCCCAAAATACCTGCTGCTGGTGAACCTGCGTGGTTTAACTCCCCTGAAAAAGAGTTCTGCCCGGATACTTGCCTGCCTGGCAGGGAGGAACATCCCCTCCTTTTGGAAGGAAGGAGGTGGAAATAATGCAGAAGGAATTTGAGGGGTTGGTTGTGGTGTTGGGATATGGTGAATCAGTGGGGTTTTACAAACAGGGTGTTGCAGTAGTTGGTTCCTGGTTGGGTCCTTGTAGCTCTCCTGCTCTAATCCATATAAAAGCACAAATAAGCTCTTGGACAATTGCCCCCAAAGTTTGCACAGGGATTATCTGTGGTGGGAGGGCAGTGCTGCTGGCCCTGGGGCTCTCCAGGGCCAGGTTTAGTTACACAGTGCCCCAGAATTGGCTCAGGGGTGTTGTGGCTGGTTTTGGGGTGAATGGTGTCTCACAGAGCTGAAATGAATGCCCAGGAGCTCTTGCAGTGTGGGGCTGAGTCAGGCTGCTGTCTTGCTGTTTTCTTTCTGAAAATAAACCAAAACAGCGTTGGACCAAATCAGATACTGCTGTTTGTTTCTGCCTGTGTGTAGGGGAAAAACCAAAACAACAGAACCCCATCCCAGAGCCCCATGCTGGAGCTCTGGGGAGGTTGGTGTCCCTCTGATGGGGATCCAAGCAGCAGGAACACTGAGAAGGATGTTGCCATAAATGAGGAGTTTGGGAGAGCTGTGTGTGTGGCAAAGTCCCACAAGGCACGGGTGAGCTAAACCAGGTCGGGGATTGCCCCAGTGTCCCATTTTTGGGGGCCTCTGTGTTTTGTGTGACTCTGTGCTCAGTGTTGTGAGAGTGCTGAGCTGAGCCGAGGTGTGTAAACATCCATGGGGCACGTGTTTGAGCAGGGTTTTGTTTGTCTTGCTCTGCTTCTAGCAAAAAGTACAGGCTGAGTTTCTGCAGCTCTGTGAAAAGTTGCTTTTAAAACTGTACTTTTTTGAAGGTCTTTTCCCCTTCAAGTAAGTTGAAGTCCAAGTAAGGGATTTGGGTTTAATAATTGTTGGATATCTCACTGGAGTTTTTCAGGCACGTGCCTGTGTGCTGTAACTAATGTTGATTTGAAAGCATTTAATGGTTGGTATTACAAACCAGTCCAAAGTCACAGAATCATCCTACATTTGCCAGCTGTATTTTCCCTCTGTTTTGAAAAGAGGGACATTGTGGGATCCATCCTGACTTTCCTTAGAGCTGCAGGGCAGTGCATGTGGGAAGCAGCTGGGAGAGCCCTGCGTGCCCAGCCCGTGCCCTGAGGTGCCCAGGGCAGAGGCTTTCTGCTGACCCCTGCCCTCCCTTGGCACCTCCTCCCCTGCAGCACCATAACCTGAAGCCACTGGAAACACACGTGAGCTTCTTCTGAAATGATCTCACTTTAAAGCAAACCCCGTCTGAGGAACGCTTTGCAGATTTATGTGATCCTCAACCCAGTTCCAGTGTGGTTGGGTTCAGGACATTGCTTTGAAGTGTATTTTGTGAGTTACTGCTTTCCAGCTTCAGCCAAGGGCCAGCTGCTAATCAGCTGACCAGGGACATTTGGATTAGGAATTAAACTGTTTCTCCTCTCGGAATGGGACACGTGATTCTTATTTTTTAATTTTTTCCCTGTTTCTTGTGGGGCAGAACATGTACTCTGCACTCTGCTCTGCCAGGTAGGATGTTTGATTCCAGCAGTCTGTTTTTCTGAGAGTAGAACCAGGGGAACTTGTGAAGGATCCCAGGGGAGTTCTTTGCTAAATGCTGAGGTATCCCAAGTGTTTTGGTGCTTTTAGCAGCTCAGCTTTTGCTGGGACAGTGTGTGCTGTGTCCTGAGATGTAATCAGGGAGGAAAAGCAGGTGTTAGTGCATTTAAGTGTGTAAGAAGTTGTGTGGGCCAGAGACTGACCTGGCCCATGAGCTTTGTGCAGGCTGTCACAGAAGGGGTCTGGTTCCTTATGGAGCAGCTGTGGCAGCTAAAAGCTGCTTTAAAGGCAGCGTTGGCCCAGCCAGTCACCATCCCAAGGCAGTGCTAGCCCAGCCAGTCACCATCCCAGGAAGGAACTTCCCTGTGAAACCAGCAGAGTTCCTGTTTCAGCACTCCTGCCATGAAGCTGTCAGTGTAATAAAGCCGAGTTTTGGGATTCTGCCTGGGGGTAATGCATGGTTTAACTCCAGCTGGGGTCTTGCAGAAGTGTTCTAGTAGTTTTAAAGGCTGCTAACCTCTGGTTGCACATGCATAGTGTTTTTATTGTGGCACGGGCCCTCTCCCCTTTGTGCAGGAGCTTGTCAGCAGCTCGAGGAGAGCAGGTGGGAAGTTACAAATGTGCTGAAGACAAGCTGGAATCCACTCTGGATTTAGCACCTCTTGCCTTCCAGGCTGACCCACTGCATTAATCATGGCTAATGAGGGGTCAGCACTGGCTGGGTGCTGCACCCTTGGGCAGGGGCTGGCAGCTGCTTCCCTTGAAGGTGACTTTATTCAGGGTAGGTGTTCTGGGCAGGCTGAGGCTGTGCCCGTGGGGAAGGCAGCGTGCCAGCTGCAGGGCTGGTGCTGCTGCTCTGGAAAGTCACAACCAATTTGCCTGCTCTTGTGCTAAGTGTTTACTTGTGTTCTACATGTGGAAGGAGACAGGGAGTCTCTGAGGAGAACATGCCATGAGCAGAATTGGTTTATGGAGGAGTTATCTTTGATAACAAGAGGTAACTGAGTAAGTTTCCCAGGAAGGGGTGCTGCCTTCCTTGGATGGGGACAGCACAGGATGTCCTTGTGGTGGTGTCATGCTGGAAACAA